ATCATCCGCAGATCCGTCACCTTCATCAGCAGCTTGGGCCAGAAGTGGGGAATGTTGTGTTTGCGGTAGTTGATGTAGTGCTCGAAGGCCAGCAGGTACGTCTCCTGGCACTTCTCGATCTTCTCCACGCAGATCAGCCCCGTCCGGTCTGCGGGGAATCACCACGGGATCATCACGGAGCCATCGCGGAATCACAGCGTGGCTTGGGGTGGGAGGGACCTTAAAGCCCACCCAGTCCCACCCCCTGCCATGGGCAGGGACACCTCCCACTAGCTCAGGTTGCTCCAAGCCCTGTCCAACCTGGCCTTGGACATTTCCAGGAATGGGGCAGCCACAGCTTCTCTGGGCATCCCGTGCCAGGGCCTCACCCCCCTCACAGGGAGGAATTTCTTCCCAATATCTCATCTAAATCTCCTCTTTTTAGTTTAAATCCCTCCCCTTTGACTTGGCACTCTCTGTCCATATAAGAATCTGGCATCCAAGGAGATTTGCCCTCCTACAGGGCTGAGTGCCCCACACACCCCCTGGGTTTTGGGGCTCCCACCCCACAGACCTGCATCAGCCTGACAGGGGTCCCCAGGGCACCAAGGGGCTCAACCCATGCCCACACTTTGCAGCCCAGGTTTCAACACCACAGATTACAGTGCCCACTCCATGCTCCTGGGCACTGGGAATTGGGATATCCACTCCTTCCAGCCTGGCACAGCTCCCCAGAGCTCTGGGGATTGGGGTGCTTACCCCACAACCTCCTGGCAAAGCTCCCTAGGTGCACTGGGGTGCCCACCCCATATCTGCCCCCAAATCCAAGGGAGCACAGTTTCCCATCCAACACACCCTGCAGATGCTGGGGGGCTTTGGCATCAGGGTGCCCACCCAACACATCCCCAGCACAGACTCTGGGCACAGGGGTGCCCACGCAACACAGCAATAAGACACCGCAGATGCTGGGCATTAGGGTGCCCATCCAATGCATCCCCAAATGCTGGGGGCTCTGGGCACAGAGGTGCCTACCCAACACATCCCCAGGAGAGACTCTGGGCATGGTGGTGCCCACCCAACACACCCTGAAAATGTTGAGGGGGCTCTGGCATCAGGCTACTCACCTGACACACCCCCAGCATACTGAGGACTCTGAGCATGAGGGTGCCAACCCAACACACCCCCAAAATGTTGGGGGAGCTCTGGCATCGGGCTGCTCACCTGACACACCCCCAGCATACTGAGGACTCTGAGCATGAGGGTGCCAACCCAACACACCCCCAGGACAGATGGGCACTCAACACACTCCCAGGATACTGACTCTGGGCACGAGGGTGCCCACCCAACACACCCTCCGATTCCCCGGGCACCAGCGTGCCCACCCCACGCCCGCGCACACGGGTACCTGAGGACATGAGCAGCACGGCCTGGAGCAGGGCCACCTCGGTGTCGTCCAGGTTGAAGGCAGAGAGGGACTTGCCCAGGTCGAAGATGGCATCGGAGACGACGCCGAGGCCGCCGTTCTTGAGCTGCTCTCGCTTCACCGCCATCTCCCCGCTCAGCGTCAGCGTCTCGCTCTCGGGGTCGTAGCGCACGGCCGCCCGCAGCGACATGATCTCCATGCAGCACCCCTTGAGCAGGATGATCTGGTCCTCGCAAGGCAGCTGAGGGGGGGGCACGGCGGCAGTTTGGGGGGGGGTTTGGTGTGACTCAGACCTGGGCAGTTCCACTCTGGTCCTCCCCCAAAACCTCCCGCCCTCCCTCCCCCCCGTTGTTACCTCCGAAAACATGGGCAGTTTTTTGGCAAAGTCGACCACGCGGGTGATGGCCGGGGTGATGATTTTTGTAAACTCGCTGAACGCCTCCAGGTCGACTTTGTCCCCGTCGGGCATGGAGGCCATGGGGGACTGGCCGATGTCCTCGGGCTGTGGGGGGCACAGAGGCGTTGGGGGGTGTGGAGTGTGTCCCGCAGGACCCCCGTGGTGGTGTTGGGGAGTGGGGTGTGACTGTGCCCCCCATCAAGACCCCCATAACAGACAGGGACACTGGGGGCTGTGCTGTAACCCTGTCCACCCCTGGGATCCCCAT